ACTCCAAAGTAAAGGCAAACGAAGCCAATGAACTTTCAGCAATCTATACTATGTTCAGCTGACATCTATCTAACATAGCCCTACAGTAAGAAGCCTTTTTAGCCATCAAAAATCTCCTTCATATTTGTCAACGAGCGGGAGAGGTTTTGAAGCCAGCGTTTACCTTCTTAATCGCGCATGCTTGGTCCTTACTATACTTGGGACCGAATCGAATAATTATTCGATCATTCGAATAAATCATTCGAATGCGAATGATTCGAAAAGTTGAATATTCGAAAATCTGAGATTTCGAATAAAATTCGAAAGTCGAATATTCGAAATTTTTTGTTTTCGAATATATTCGATAATCGAATATTCGAAAATCTTCATTTTCGAATATTATTCGAAAGTCGAATATTCGTAAATCTTGAATTTCGAATATTATTCGATAGTCGAATATTCGAAGGTCATTCATTCGATCATTCGATGTCCATCAAATATTCGAATATTCGTCGAGCACCGAATATTCGATAATTCGATAAGAAATGACTATTCGAAAATTCAATAGGCGCCGAATATTCGAGAATTCGATAAGAATTGACTATTCGAAAATTCGATAAGCACCGAATATTCGAGTATTCGATATGCATAGGGTATACGGGGTGTCTTAAAAGTATCTACACACTGTTTGATCGCTAATACCTCTCAAAGTCTTTTGCCAATTTCTGGGTAACATCCAGTAGGGATGGCTTCATCTTATAAATACAGCAGAAAGCGAATCACCCATGCTTTTTTATTGTGTGTTATCACAGTAGGAAACTCCAGCTTATAGACCAACTGCAAAATAAGAAATCCAAAAAAATTGTCCCCAAAAAGGTCTTATGCTGATTTTACTACGCACGAGTTTTCAAGCTTTTCAAATGGCAATCACATTTTTGAAAGGCGTCGCAAAACACTTGTTGCGGTGTATCGTTTGTTCCCCAGCAAAATTTCCATAGGTATCACCACGTCATGTCGCTGCCTTTCGCTATTTTGAACGTGTTAACCTCGGGCATTTCCGTTGAAATCTCAGGAGAAACGTGTCAAAAAGGGCAAAAAACAGCGTCGCACCACGTACGCAGCTGATTCACATTTAAACTTTTCTGGGGCACACAGGATACCTGGCGTAGGTTTTGAAAAAGCATTACGGTTGAGTGCAAATTCTACATAAAGTGAGTGTCTTTAGAAATCTAAAGCAAGACTTCCAGCCCTTTTGATTCTTTTTCTTAGGGAAATGGCTCTTAATGTTTTGAAACCCACTTCAGTCCTACGGTAATTTTACAATAGTGAAAAGCGATTGATAAATCGCCCCATACTCTAAGTTGATGTCAGCCTACAGATCTACATATGTTGGGACCGCTGTATACCCAATCGCAACTCTCAGTGAGGGTATATAATCTTCTTTGAAGTATGAAAAATCTTTTCACAACCGTCATAAGAGTAGCTTGGTTCCTAAGTCTCTCTCTTCACGTCACGACTAAACCGTTTTTTCATCGTAAATTGTACCATAAGAATGTGTCCATTCTTATCATTTACATGAAACAATTTATTCTTAGCGTTTTGGCCTTTCGTAGGCAGTCTCAATGATGTAAATTATTCGGTCAGTATTCGAAAATCGAATGATATTCGGAAATCGAATAACATTCGAGAACTGAATAATATTCGAAATTCGAATAACGAATGATATTCGATATTCGAATATTATTCGATTCGAAGTTTTCATTTTCGAATAATATTCGATAGTCGAATATTCGAAATTTCCGATTTTCGAATAATATTCGAAAGTCGAATATTCGAAATTTTCAATTTTCGAATAATATTCGATAGTCGAATATTCGAGAACTTCGATTTTCGAATATATTCGATATTCGAATATTCGAAAAAAATTTCGAATTTCTCCAAGTATAGTCCTTACTATACTTGGGGAAATTCGAAATTTTTTTCGAATATTCGAATATCGAATATATTCGAAAATTGAAATTTTCGAATATTCGAATATCGAATAATATTCGAAAACCGAAATTCTCGAATATTCGACTATCGAATATTATTCGAAAACTGAAATTTTCGATTATTCGACTATCGAATATTATTCGAAAATGAAAATTTCGAATCGAATAATATTCGAACATCGAATATCATTCGTTATTCGAATTTTGAATATTATTCGGTTCTCGAATGTTATTCGATTTTCGAATATCATTCAATTTTCGAATACTGAGCGAATAATTTACGTCATTGAGACTGCCTATGAAAGGCCAAAACACTAAGAATAAATTGTTTCATGTAAGTGCTATGAATGGACACATTCTTATGGTACAATTTACGATGGAAAAACGGTTTAGTCGTGACGTGAAGAGGCTTAGGAAGTTAAAAGCTACTCCTGTGACGGTTGTGAAGAGATTTTTCGTACTTCAAAGAAGATTATATATCCACACTGAGAGTTGCGATTGATATACAGCGGTCCCAACAGTATGTAGTGTAGGCTGACATCAGCTTAGAGTATGGGGCGATTTATCAATCGCTTTTTACTGTTTCAAAATTACCGTAAGACTAAAGCTAATTTCAAAACATCAAGAGCCATTTCCCCAAGAAAAAGAATCAAAAGGGCTGAAAGTCTTGCTTTAGATTTCTAAAGACACTCACTTTATGTAGAATTTGCACTCAACCGTAATGATTTTTTTTTCAAAATTTACGCCAGGTATCCTGTGTCCCCCAGAAAAGTTCCCATGTGAGCCAGCGTGCGTGCGTGGTGTGACGCTGCCTTTCGCTCTTTTTGACATGTTTCTCCTGAGATTTCAACGGAACTGCCCGAGGTTAACACGTTTAAAATAGCGAAAGGCAGCGACATGACGTGGTACCTATGGGAAATTTGCTGGGGAACAAACGATATACCGTAACAAGTGTTTTGCAGCGCCTTTCAAAAATGTGATTGCCATTTGAAAAGCTTGAAAAGACGTGCGTAGTAAAATCAGCATACGTAAAAACACTGCTGCACAGATTTTAGACCTTTTTTGGGGACAATTTTTTTGGATGTCTTATTTTGCAGTTGATCTATAAGCTGGAGTTTCTTGCTGTGATAATACACAATAAGAAAAACATGGGTGATTCGCTTTCTGCTATATTTATAAGCTGAAGCCATCCCTACTGGATGTTCCCCAGAAATTGGCAAAAGACAGAAGTATTAGCGATCAAACGGTGTGTAGATACTTTTAAACGTATATGCTATGCATATCGAATTCTCGAATATTCGGTGCTTATCACATTCTCGAATAATCAATTCTTATCGAATTTCCGAATATTCGGTGCTCGACGAATATTCGAATATTTGATGGACATCGAATGATCGAATGATTGACCCTCGAATATTCGACTATCGAATAACATTCGAAATTCAAGATTTTCGAATATTCGACTTTCGAATAATATTCGAAAACTGAAAATTACGAATATTCGACTTTCGAATTTTATTCGAAATCTCAAATTTTCGAATATTCGACTCTTCGAATCATTCGCATTCGAATGATTTATTCGAATGATCGAATAATTATTCGATTCGGTCCCAAGTATAGTCCTTACTTAGATCTATCAACTCCGCTTAGCATTTGCTCTTCCAAACTGCGTGCTCATAGGTGTTGTCGAAAAACCTAAACTTTTTAACTTCAAAAGCTGCTTACTACTAGTCGTTTGGGTCTGGGTGTAAAAAAAGAAGCGAGATTCGATTTCGAGTGACCGAATGCCTTCAAAGTTCCATCGTGTAGAACCTTATGATTCAGTTTTAGAAGGAGCTGTAGGGAGGGGGCCAGTGGCGCACCAAGCCCCCCTCCCCCAAGAATGGGTTGCGAAACTTTTAAAAGTTACCTACAAGAGTTATAAAAATGTGCAAGCGACTTGTTTACACTTGCAAATAATCAAAATAATTTTCAAAATTTCTTAGAATTTCAGTTTACCTTCTAGAAAATTTCGGCGTAGCTGCCGCCACTCCCTCCTTTTGAAGTATCGGAGCTATGAGCCCGCGAGAATTTCGGGAACCGTACCAAACATTTTTTCGCAGTATGTAGCTAACGCACCTTCGTCAAAAAATTTTGTTTATCGCACCCTGAACAGAGATATTGAGTGCGCTACTGAAAGGCGCATAAGGTATTATTCAGTATAGGCATCTCTAGCGCTACTGTGGGTAAACATTATTTGGTCGCCAATTTTGGGCTTTGAAGAAAAGATATGGCAGGCAATTTGGCCGAAGAAGATTCTCGCATTTCTGTGATATTCGTGTATCAGATCCGTAGTGATTTGAGCAGGTGTGGGAACTCTATGCATCAGGCATTTTGAGAGGGTGTTTTAGCCACTTTTGTGCTAGACACTCTTAACCACTTAATAGAATGTTAGCCATATTGCACCGATGTAGCGGACGACGATATACAGATAAAGCTGGGAAGAAGCTCATAAAATGGAGTTATTTACGAAAGGGTGCACTTCATTCTATTAGCGGTAACCACCCAACATGCAATTTGAGTTACTTGGTCGCTTGGTTTTCAACCACCACAACTTCTGGCATTTTGATATAATTTCGTTGGTAGGGTTTTGATATAGATAAGCAGACACTCTGAAAGCGAGTTCCTAATATCAATGCCGGGATGAAGCAGCACATTGCTTGCTCCGCGCATTTCTGATTTCTGAAATAATTTCTGATCAAGGTGCATTCCCACCCTGTTGAGTAGACTTAGCAAGATTCTGTGCAGAAAGTGTGTCGCACATGGATTTTGTCGAATTTTTTAAGTGTATAACTTAACAATGCACAAACAAAACATTGGCTTATGCATTTCTGGAGCACGAGGTATAGCTGCTTTCACAAATGTTCTATCCCTTCACCATAGTGGCATTTTGTTTCAAAAGATGTATTCAGGAAATTATGAGTTTTCCCATGCTGTACTCAAGTCAGATAAACGAGATTTATTTTTGTACAACTATAATACAAGTATCCTCTATGCCTTAGCTGACTTCCGCAAAACAACCCGATGGCGCATGAATTTTGCTGCACTGAGACGTTGCTGGTAGCCACCTCCAGACTGCGAGTAACCGCCACCAGCTGAAATGCATATATTATGCTAACATAAATCTTAGCAGCCATGAACTCACATGGAGGAGAGGCGCCAGAGTATCCTCCTCCACTAGGTGGAGGTGGTGGTGGCATTGGTTGTGGCACTGGTGCTGGGCCAGGCGCAGGTGGTTGGGGCATTGGTGCTGAACCTTGTGAGTATCCTCCAGAAGGCTGAGAACCGCCTCCGTAGCTTCCGCCACCCATACCACCACCTCCCATGCTTCCTCCTCCTGAGCTTCCGCCGCTTCCGCCGTAATTGCCGCCTCCGGTGCTGTAACCACCTGATGCTGGTGGTGGAGGTGGTGGTGGGGGTGGAGGGGGAGGTTGAGATCCACCACCGGTGCTGCCAGCATAACTGCCGCCTCCCATGCTGCCTCCTCCGCCACCGCTACTTCCGCCGTAGCTGCCGCCGCTTCCTCCAGAGCTTCCACCTCCCATGCTTCCGCCACTTCCACCGTAGCTGCCGCCTCCAGTGCTGTAACCACCTGATGGTGGTGGTGGAGGTGGTGGTGGGGGTGGAGGGGGAGGTTGAGATCCACCACCAGTGCTGCCAGCGTAACTGCCTCCTCCAGCACCGCCACTTCCACCGTAGCTGCCGCCTCCAGTGCTGTAACCACCTGATGGTGGTGGTGGAGGTGGTGGAGGGGGTGGAGGAGGAGCTTGAGCGTATCCGCCGCCACTGCTGCCGCCATAGCTGCCTCCTCCCATGCCGCCACCTCCCACGTTTCCGCCGCTTCCACCGTAGCTGCCGCCGCCGCCTACATAGCTTCCACCACCCATTCCTCCTCCTCCCATGCCACCACCGCCGTAGCCGCCCCCGCCTCCTCCACCACTGGCATATCCTCCTGAGGGTGGCATAGGCGCTGGCATAGGCATTGGTGCCGGCATGGGCATTGGTGCTGGCATAGGCATTGGTGCACTGGCATATCCTAAAAAGTAACGATTACGAAATGATATGAACACGACTATATAGCTGACCTCCACCGCCGCCGCTTCCGCCACCTCCTCCGCCTCCATATCCTCCGCCGCCGCCGCTGTAACCTCCACCGCTACCGCCGGCGTAGCTTCCACCGCCACCGCCACCGCCTAGAAAGATTTGCTAAACCAGCCAGTAGTAGTTGGCATTTGTCAGTGTACATCCTCTCTACTTGAGAAGCTTTGGGCTCGACACTGAAAAGTGTCGTTTTCCTTGTGCCACTCTGCCTTCTTTTTTTCGGCACAATTATAAAAGAGCGAAACGATGTCTAGCATTAGCAAGTTTCGAACTCAATACAAAATAGTCCACAATGTAAAATGCACTCACCGTAGCCTCCACCACCTCCACCAGCTGTGGCGAGTTGGCTGAAAAGAAATGGACGTTAAATTTTTGTGAAAAGCTGCGCGTACGCACAACTCACCAATATACCGCGAGGATTAGACTTGCTGAGACGACTTTACGCATAGCTGAGGTGTGCCGCATTTTTTCTCTCATTGCTTTTATATCATACCAACAAAGGTCATCGGCATGCCAATCAGTTCAGTGCAGTCAACAGGCAGAAACTTTTAAGCTTCTGTTATTACACCTTTCCATTCTTTGTGCATGCGCGCAAAACTGTATCGCGCGCGCATTTCGCTATCTCTGCTAGGTCATCATCAATAAACCTGTGTTTCGTGTTAATTCGATTGTCTATGAAATTCTATGGTTTTAGGTTCTACAATGGCATATTACTGGTCAATGAACAGTTGGAGAAAATGCTGGACTTTTTCAAAATCAAGTCAAAACTCTTCCCTAGTAGATCCATCTGAAGATATCGAAGTACAATAATGGTTTCATAACATAGTAACAGTAGGTAACTCATCTCCGACTAAACCCGAGTTTAGCCTGTTAATTGCATTTTGCATTTGATAATGGCATTCCATAACATTCACCAGGGCCAAAATCTGAAACAGTCTGTATCATTCTACTTTATATAGAACTGCTAGATGATGATAAATAAAATAAAAACTGCAGGGATATTTTTGTCTGTAGTGATTTCCCGCTCTCTGCACGCAAGAACCAACATCAAATTCATATGTAGCTGATATCAAGCACTGATTAAGCGAGAACTATGCCAGTTTGAGCAATGGGGAAGAAGATGAGTTACAGAAGTTTCCACAAATTGTAAGCGAACTACAAATATTTAAAATAAGTGCTATTGGAAAACAAAAATGATGACAGAGGGAATGATAAAAGTGAAAGTCACCACCAAGGAAAAGATCAAAACAATTATTGAAAGCGTAAGTGTAAATTTCTCAGGGACGTCTCCATTACTACGCATTCCATCAACCATGTTCAAAAAGTTATTACGCATCTTGTAATGGCAGTCAAGAAAGTGGGAACACATTATTTGCCTTTCCTACATTTACACTAATGACAGTCAAACTTTGCAAGCATGACTGATTTGCTACTAAACCACAAGGAACATGCAAATAATCTCTAAACGAACCCAATTTTTCTAAACTTCGGGTATAAGCTTGCTGAAAATGTGGCAGGCATCAAAAAAAAATCTTTGAAGAGCGTGGCTAACGCGCCTCAACTTCGAAAAAATTCTCTTGCATCATACAATGTGCTTATTGCGAAAATAGCAATAAACTCGTCTCTTTCCAGCCTTTATCTCCTAGCAGAATTTAAATTGATTCTCGCTTTGTTTTTTTTTGAACGCCGAACATTGAAGAAGACTAGGATGTGAATCGCAAGCTCATAAGGATGGTCAGAAGCCAAAGTACCACTCGGAACTACTTGTATATTACAAAATACAGCGTAAATCTATCTTTTGTATCTGACAAACATTTTTGTACACAAAGCTATGTGCAATTTTACTGCAAGGAAATTGTTGCGTGAAGTGCGTGTGCGCAATACTGTACAGAATGCAATTTTAGGCCATTCGCTAATCAACCAATTGCAATAAATATTCCTACAAGTCAACAGCGCCGAGATTTCTATTGGATTTGGTGTTGATAGTTGCGTAAGTATTCTTGTGCTGCAAATAACGCTCCCTGGCATACATACAAGATGAGCAGATAATGTTCTAAATTGCAAAGCATCAGGATCAGAATAATAGAAACTAGCTGGCAAACTCGGCTCTGACCGGCCCTGTCAATAATGTATTCTAATCATGTACATTCACCCCCTGTGCGAATTCCCAATCCCACAGCTCAAACTTTGCAAAAAAAATCGATAAAATCGATATTGATCGATAGCGAAAAGTAGCCTACGACACCCGCCGAACCCCAAACTGTATGTGTGGAAAGTTTGGTCCGAATCGTTCCAGAAATGGGATTTTCTATTCGGAACATACGCAGAGACACCTACAGACAGGCAAACAGACATTTAGCTTTGTATATAAGATGAATCTAATGGTCAGCTAGCCATAAGTAAATCTTTGTAACCTCAGAACAGATGCGCGATTTGATGCGGGAAGTGTTGCGTTTTTAAAAAAAATCATATTTTTACTTGGAGCTTGGTATCTTTTGTGAACGCGGAAACTTATACGAAAGTAAGAATTTCCATGTAAATTCAGAGACTCACTAAGTTTCGCAGCCTGGCGTAAACTGACAGTGGGTATACGTATGCTACGTAAAGCCGAGTGTGTAGTCTGGAAGGGTCTATCAAGCCGCGAAAAAAATTCAACGTTTCCGGCTTTCGACTTCGCCGAATGCCTAGCTGACAGCACTTCCAGGCAGATTCCAGCCGAAAACTTTTCTATTATTAGGTATTTTCGAGCAAAACTCCAGCGTGCATCACCATTCTGGGTCGACTCTGCAGACCACGCCACCAAAAGTCTTCACCTAATTCAAAGCTTGCATCTCATGCAGGTGTTTAACAGTATCAATTCTGCTTCCAGTATACTGTTCTGAGGTGCTCTCAATGAAAACGCTTCAAATACGTTTGATATAGTCTTATTCCTTACTAGCTGGCTTACCCGGCTCCGCCGTATCCGGACCAAACTTGGCACACATACACTTCGGGCCCCGGCGCGTGTCGCAGTCCACTTTTCGTTATCGATCGATGTCGATTTTACCGATTTTTATCGATTTTTTCGCAGAGTTCACCCACAGGGCTAGGAGTTGGCACAGGGGGGGGAAGTGAGCATGGGGATTCCAAATACAATATTAGTTTTCAGAATTATCGGTTACTTTTATTGATTTTATCGATTTTTTGTAAATTTTGACATGCGAGGCTGGGATTTTGCACAGGGGGGTAATCGAGCATGCTGATTACGAACACAATATTAGTTTTCAGGATTGTCCATTACTTTTATCGATTTTACCGATTTTTTTGTAAAGTTTGACCTGCGGGGCTGGGAGTTTGCACAGGGGGGTAATCGAGCATGCAGATTACGAATACAATATTAGTTTTTGGAATTATCCATTACTTCTATCGATTTTATCGATTTTGCAAAATTTGAGCTAGGGGGCTGGAATTTGGCACAGGGGGTAATCGAGCATGCTGATCACCCCCTTGGGGATGATCAGCATGCTCGATTACCCCCCTGTGCCAACTCCCAGCCCCCTAGCTCAAACTTTGCAAAAAATCGATAAAATCGATATCGATCGATGACGAAAAGTAGCCTATGACAGCCGCCGGGGCCCGTAGTGTATGCGTGCCAAGTTTGGTCCGGATCGGTTCAGAAATAGAATTTTCTATTCGGAACATACGTACATACATACATACATACATACAGACAGACATACAGACAGACATACAGACAGACATACAAACAGACATTCAGCTTTATATATAAGATAGTTGTCCGGGCCATCGTAATTGTCAGTGAAAAGCGAGGACAAATCCTCCACCCGCGGATCCATGAATTTAGGTCAACGTCCGGCATCATTGTTTATTCCGTGTGTCACCCCCAATATTTGTTACGCCGATGAAGTTCGTAAATTGAAAATTAGCAGGATGTAGAATTGATGAAATGTTTCAGCACTAAAGCACAAGTTCTCGTCAAAGTTCTGGGCATCTCTGACATTCCATGTGACGCTTCAATTACTGGTTCATTGGCCTTGTAGTAAGTCGAGTAGATTTGCCGTGAATATAGTGCCCCTGCGGTGCGGAGTGTTTGCTGCGAGATTTGCGCGTGAACAAATAGCTACGTTTGAAATGCAGGCAATTTGTGAGCGCAACAAATTGCTGGACTGTATGATTGTTCGAGCAAAATGTCCAAGAAGTAAGTGATGAAGTTGATGGCTTGACTTTTTCCTCCAAATACTGAATAATCGGTAATTTCTGGGAAATCAAGTTATTTGCCTGGAGCAAAATCTCCTTAGAAGTATAAGCCCCTATCCGAGTTTCTTTGTTCTTTTCGATGTCTACAGGACGAACTATTGTTCGGAATGCTTAATGCTGTCCAAGCAAAAAGTCGATTTTGAGGTTTTGTGCTTACCTGGGCCTATTCGCTATGCTGAATCCGAAAATCAACACTGGAGAGCGCGAAAACGGTGAAAAAAGGCTCTAACGGAGGAGGGAAATTGCGGGTAGGCGGGGCTGTTCACATAGTGGTGTTACCCTCCCAGCTTCAAGAGCGATCTTCTCGCTTCCGCTAATCGCCCTAACATCACCACCAGCCAACTGCGAAACGCATGACATAAAATCGGAACCGAGAAGATCGCTCATAAAGCCTGGGAGAATGACGTCACGGTGTGAACGGTCCCGCCCACCTGCGATTTCCCTCCTGCGTTAGGGCCCTTCTTCGCCGTTTTCGCGCTCTCCAGTGTGGATTTTCGGATTCAGCATAGCGAGTAGGCCCTGGTAAGCACAAAATCTTAAAATCGACTTTTTGCTTGGACACCGCCTTCAACAAGGCATCAAGCGCGATGTAGCGTTGTTTTATGAAATGTTATCATAATCTTACTGCATGTTGGTGTGCTCAAATTTCATTGTTTTGAGCAGACCTTGAACCCTTAGGGTATCTATTGAACAATGGACGCGGGGGAAGAAAAGAAGTTATGTAGCACAAGGTGAAGATTCATCGTGGTTACTTCCATTTCAACGCAATTAGTCTTTGCTTTTCAGCTAGGATATTTTTCTGTGACAATCTCATTTCCGTATCGATGCTAGGAATTGCAGCAGGCGATTCGTGCATTAACGATGAGGGCAAATTTTTAAGCGCTCCGGGAAACACTATAAGTAGAGTTTACATGAAGATTCAGTAGCAACCCAAATTTTGAAGGAATTCTTCATTTTAGAGATATGAATTATACGTACTCAGCGTACCCACAGTAACTTTGCTCTTTCAATCATCAGACTTTACGCATAACCTCACTGAATAGAATCAGAAAGTCAATAGCTACTTCTTTTCCTTTTTCAGAAGATAAGACATATTAAGATGAGAGTTACTAGAAGAAGTCAAATCTCCGTAATTGTTCTGTTTTGAATGCTTGCAAAAAATGAGCTCAGCGTCTGTCCCAACGAATCATACTGCCTTATTACAGTGGGTTGTGATGATGTTCATTACTTGCTTACTTGCTATCATCATATTCACTCAAATTGTATGGTATAGATTTGTAGCATTATTTCGAATAGTTTGTGCTTAAAGATGGGCAAGCAATTTTTTGTGAAAGCAGGATGAATACTTCTGATAATTTCTTTGTCACAAGTACTATTCATTGCGCGGTATTTAGTATGCCTGTGTGTCTTTCGCAAACGTTCTGTTATCGGCTCTTCTACAGGCTACTGCCAGATGAAGGCGCAAAACCTGTGGGCGGAACGCGGTTTTATTAGCCGTGGAGCACATGAGGCGTAGGGTTTACAAAGGTAAAGATACGCGCGCGCCGCGTAACCAATACTGCTTTTGCGCCTTTGTCCCGTAGTAGCCTTTACAGTCTAAGTCAGCATTCGTGCACAGGGATCTTGTCGTACGTACGATTTTTCCTGAAGGACCGCATATCCAAACGGTTGCAATCTTTACGTTAATTGTCTGATTAGATTACTGTAGCACAACAAACAACAATAAATACTAAGACATTCTTACATTAGATACCTGTACGGTAATCGCATTAGATACCTGTACGGTAATCGTTGACCGCATGGGGAAGTTACTCATTATGATGGCAAAGCCGCTATCTCGTCTTTGTTTATGTCATAGTCTTTCAAGTTTTGGTGTAACTTGTACCACTTTCCAAAAAATCCAATATCAATGATGTTGTTGTAAAACTCTTTCCATATCCATTCTTTGAGGTTGGGATCCTGAGACTCGTAAGTGCGGATCTGAATAGGGTAAAGTACTGATCAGAGAGTGGACAATAATAAGGCCTAGACAAAGACACTCACAGAATCATCATAAGTGGATCGAACAAGAAGGGAGAAAAACCAGAGGTTATAGTGATGCAGACGATTTTGGCATAAAAGTACAGAACGTCGAACAAGCTCTTCGTCTAAACATTTTTTGAGTTTGTGACGAAAAAGTGAACATCGATACCTGCTTGGTTGTTATGTATCGAGAGTGGTACCAAACTCATGATCTGCCGCCATTCTCGCAAATCGTTAAGCATAAATTGTTGCGTAGGATTCGTCTGGTATGCATATATAAGGCCACCGAGACACGATAAGTAAAATCCTGCACAACTGCCGAGGTGTTACAAATTGAGGAGGCGCAAAAAAGCAGACATCGACAGAACTCACCAGTTTTGTAAGGTTCCTTCTTGCATCCTTTATATGCCGCAATAGCTAAAGTCTTGTAATCATTGCCTCTTTTCTTCCAATGCGCAGTGAAACTCTGACCAACCTTTCGAAACAAGCTGGATATTGGTGCTGTCATCGTCCTGGGACAGTCTTTACCTCACTACTGATGAAATCGAGTGCAGAAATAAACAAATTTGAGCAAGTCAAACTGTCAACTTATTGGTTTAGGCGTCAAAAGAAGTGTGTCCGTGGAAGCACAGCACGCGCGGTTCGACGTCTAATCTAGAAAAAAAACGGAGCTATTCTTGTTTCTTGCTCGGTGGCCTATTTTTAAGAATTGTCATCTTTTTCTTGTTACATAAGTATTTACAAAAAATTCTCCTTCATTCATCTTCCTTACTTCTTGTTCATAAACATACTCATTTCTTTGATGTGCGTACTCTCTGTCATTAGGGTTGGTAAACCTACCCTACCTGGTGGCATCAAAGATGCTGGCACACATTGCGGGAAGCTGCCAACTCCGGCGGCAGCTCGAGAATGGCTACAAGCAGAGCGTCGCAAAACATTCGCATCGCGCTCGACCTTGCATGCATCGACTTCGAGCGCAGGTGCACTACCCGATCGAAAACAAATACACTTGCCATGTGGCGAAGCATGTTACGAAGGCATGTCTAAATTTCTGAATTTGCTGGGCCGCTGCAAAACCTTTGCGTCACGCGCACTTGATTTTCCATCCAGCCTCGAGCGCCACCACGCGAACCGATCGACCACACGTACCATCGGCTCCCCGATTGCTGCGAGGGCGGTCGCGATGGTCAACCGATAATCAATTTATCAGCTATGTCTCAACACTGGACGACCGCATCGCTGATGCGCTCGCCCGAGTCCACTCTTGCGGCACCTGGAAAGTCGATGGTACATGCTTCGCACATAGAAAACAGCGGTGAGAGGCCTGAATTTCCGAAATCTGTGCTTGAGCATGATCGATACCGTTTGTGCTAAACTTTGGACTTCGGAGTATAATGTCCATGACAGATTCGCTACTTTTCTATTGTTTTCATTGTTTGTTTCATTGAATTTTGTTGCAAAGATTTTTCTCTTGAAAAACTTTACAATCTCGAAATGCATAAAAAAGGCTTTAGAGTAATATCAGTTTTATTATTTAGACATGCTTCCGATTCTCATGTATGCCGTACCGGTTATGAGGCACCAAAACATACGCTACGGACGACTTCATCCTCTCCGCCTCTTCAGCTCGAATCAAGGTCTTGTTCAGAGGAAGTTGCGAATGAGAGAATCTCACCTGCGGCGATTGTGCAGCCTGCTCAAGCCTTTAATAAGCCAGGAGAGCATCGACAATTGGAGCGTGGAGATCGAGACCAAGGTTGGTTGCATCAGCACTGATCAGTACTATTATAGGGGCCTGCAGGATCGCGAGAGTCGGACGTGCGTACGGCCATTGCGCCGCGCACGTCGTATGTCACTGGGTCGTACTCGATTCAGGCTGGATAGGTGAGATTTTTTTGTTTTTCTTCTCATTTCTCGCCTTCTTTTCTTTTCAGGCGGCGAACATATGTTGGTGCAGAGGAGTTTAAGATCTAGGTTAAGGTGAGGTGCAGGATTATGCTCAATACGGGCCAATATTGTGGACTTTTCATCCCTGCTTTGAAGAATGTTGAGTTTTCTGTTCTGGCTGTCCGATTATGTTCGATTTTTCGTCCTGCCTGCCCGGTTACGAAACTCCGTTTTATTTGCAACGTCTGTTCTACCTCATCTTGCATCATGCGCGTCATCACAATCATAATCATTGCCATCATCATCATCATCATCACAAGCAATATGCAAGATAAGGTAGAATAGACGGTAGAAATAGAACAGTTTGCTGTAACAGGGCAGCCAGGACAGAAAATCCAACATCTCAACCAGCAGGCATGGAAGGTCTGCAATATCGAGTCCGTATTGAGCATAATCCTGCACCTCACCTTAATTCAGATCTTAAACTCCTCCGCACCAACATGTGCTCACCGTCTGAAAAGAAAAGAAGGCGTGAAATGTAAAGAAAAACAAAAAAAAACTTACCTATCTAGCCTTAATCGACTACGACCCAGCGATATCAGGCGTGCGCGGCGCAAAGGCCGTACGCGCGTCCGACTCTCGCGATCCTGCAGGCCCCTATACTGAAAATAACAAAAGAACATAGACAGTGCATACGCGTAGTCATGTTGCATTTCAGTCGCCTTCGGGGTAATGGCCTAGTCGATAAGTAGTTGACGGTTCAAAACAGACGTCCAGGGTTCGCATTCCGCCTTAAGGCGTAGATTTTGCGTTCACAATATAGTGAACATAGTACAGGGGCAACTCATAAAAGCAATGATGGGGAGGGTGCAAAGCGTTCTAGCAAAATTACTCGTGTTGAAATGTTAGGAATAAAATTCCTTTCAGAAAACTAACTGATCAACTACTTGCAGGTAATCATCACACTCCGGTACTTGCCTACGAATGCCCATCAAGCCGTCTTGACGGTCACCATTGGCATCTGCCAGAAGACGCTTTTAAACGCCGTGGAGGACGTGGTGAAGGCCCTGAACCACCCGGCAGTAGTGCAGAAGTTCCTTCCATGCCATCTCAACGACGCGCATTATTGCCGGAGAAAGGCGGATGATTTCGTACATTTGGAAAGGCTCCCGAACATCGTGGGAGCCTTCGAGGTACACCTGTACCCACCCATTCTGAGGCCGGCCAACTTAGGGTGGGAGTACTACTGCCGTAAAGGTTACCTGCGCCATCAACGTTTTAGCCGTTGTCGACGCCGACGGTATATTCATCTACATAAACAGCAACTATCCAGGTTCTGCCCATGATGCTACCGTGTACAGATATAGACGCCTCCATGACGCATTCGCAGAAGGAGCTGTTCCGGAGGGTTATTGCCTGATCGGGGATTCAGGGTCCTCAAATAGCAACGAGATCCTCACCCCGTACACAAACCCTTAAGACCGGGTACAACGCCGATCTAACAGAACCCACAAAAAGATGAGGGTTGTTGTCGAGTGTGCGTTCGGGAAGTGGAAGCGCTGCTTCAAGATCTTGCAGACAAAAATGCGCTTGCATCCAGAAAAGGCGACAAAAATCATTACGGCTTGTGCTGCCCTCCGTAACATTACGCTATCGATGAGATGTTGTCCTATGCGTCATCTTGGTAGGAGGATTGCGCACATACCGCTCCCAGAACGGGGTGCCGAATATCAGGGAGGAACTAACCCCTTTACTGATTTAGAATGTTGTTGTTGTTGTTGTTAATTATTATAATTAGCATTCTAATTATAATTATATCCATTCAGTATCCACCCGTCTGGTAGGTCACAAAAGCAAAGCAACTGTGGGAAATGATTGATGACGATTGTATGGAAGGAAGATGAAAGACTGGACGTAAAAACTACAATATGAGCCATCGCTCAGTTTCTCGGATGCACCAGTCAACAAGTATAAATAGTGGAGTCATTTTTGCTGTGCTATACAAGGAGAAGAACAAAGTAAATCTATATATCATACAAAAAATCCTTGCACAAAGCTTACCATTCAAAATGTACGACCGGGCGTCATTGATGACATCATCACGATCTCAATAGGAACGGGGGGCCCCTGGTAGGCCCAACCCTCTCAGAGCCTCCTAAAATTATCCATTTCAAACGAACTGAGAACATCAAAAAAGACGTAAACGACAAAAATAGAAACAAACGGGAGTTTCCCATAAAAATTCCAAAATTCCCCGAAATCGCTGAAGGCGCCATTCTAGCAGCGTCATCCGCAGCTGTCCAGAGCAATTTCGCAGACGCCGTCGGGAAGGTGCCAGCACCTCGACTTGGTAGGGGCATGTGGAAATGCCGGCAACTTCCTCTCGCGAAAGAACACGTTATTTTTCGTGTTCTCTGACCTGCCGGCAGCTGCCACCTCGCAACTTTCGATGAGCTGCCGGAAGGTTGCCGGCAACTGATCTTGCGAAGTTGTTAGCAGCTCCTCCTGCGCTTCCAGATATTTTCCTGGAAGATTTCTGAATCTTCAGATTTTGATGGAGGTTTCTATAGAGTCGCGGACCTTCATCAAGGAAATTTAGAGGAAAAAGCCTGAGACGGCTTAAAGGCACCGTCCACCCAAAATGGAGGTTGGCGAGATTATGATGGCATACTAGTGTGGGCCCCCATACTAGACAAACCCCCAAGTTTCGCCGCAAAAGAATGCTTCTGAAGCGAGAAATCCGCTCCGAAAAAAACAAAAGTGGGCGGGGCGCCCCGGTCGCCCCGCCCACTTGCATGCTTTATCTCACCTGCACTTGTTGCAGAGGGTTTTCGAAGCAGGGATTTTTGGGGGTTTCGCGAATTTTCGACTCCATATTCGGAATCAGGGCTTTTAGAAGGCCTGAAGGCAACAAAATCATTGAATTCGAGTTGGGTGGACCGCCGGGGGCGCTCCGCCCACTTTGTTACTTCCGGAGCGGATTTCTCGCTTCAGAAGCAGTCTTTTGCGGCGAAGCTTGGAGGTTTGTCTAGTATGAGGGCCCACACTAGTATGCCATCATAATCTCGCCAACCTGCATTTTGGGTGGACGGATGCCTTTAATTTGGGGATCTTATTTTTTGACGATCTCACGGCAAGGTGCCGGCGACCTGCCGACGAGACCTGCAGCCAGGTGAGGGGGACTCGTATCGGCCCAGTTCTCGCATCCGTTATGGTAGTATGATGATGTGGAAGAAAAACACGCGAATTATCTGTAAAAAAATCCATTTCTGTTTTATTTATTGTTTTATTTATTCTATCAGCTATGATCATTACATCCTCCGCCTATCAATAACCCTCCTACTCTCCTAACGCGCGTGTTGACGTTAAAGTCGACACTTTTTGGAAATCAATGCTTTTATACAGTGCTGGACAAAATTATAGGTCCACTCTAAAAAGTGCCATAACTCACTCTGTTGTCAATAAAATGTTCCAAAATTTGGTAGAGCCGTGTATTTACCAGCCTACTATCAGTAAAAATTGGGAATTTTTAAAAAAGTAGGCTTGAAGGCTGGGCAAAATTATAGGTCTACCTGGAGTTTTTACTGACTAAAGCACTTCTTAGCTCCCGAATTTTTTTTTAGGTAGGTACACATCCAAAAGCGTCAAATGGCTGCTTCAGTCAAGCTGTGTCATACCCCAAAAGAACCGATTATCTGCGTTTTTTGCCTTGAAAATGCTTTCACATGTATTTCGCTCCACAAACCTGCGTTAAGTAAGAAATGTTCCCAGCTAGATCGGAAGCGACGGGGTTTCGTCACCTTCTGGATGCTTTTTGACGTGAGCATTTTGAGGAAAAAAATCCGACATTTTGCTGCTGAAGCAAATCCGACACCGACTTAATCGGGAGAGTAAGCCTCAGTTTCTGCCCGAAAACCTTTATGCATTGTCATACAACCTTAAGATATTGTGGGAGCATTCTTTACACAAGAATAAAGCCGGTCGCCGTACTCGCAAGTGTCCACAAAGTTGCCTTGCTTCTTTTTCGAAAACATGAGTTGTGCAACGTAATGATGGTGTTACTCACTTCCAAAATAGCTTGCCAAGTGCTACCTCACTCAAATTTTTGACGGTAAGTTATTTACTAGATAATGGGTACAGCTTCTAGTGTATGTTAGCACATGATTCTTCTGAAAATCTTGGTCGGAGCCACAAATAGCTTTGGTGCTTGTCGTAATCAGTTTCTGCAGGGTGATTTCAGTAATTATACTCAAATGCTAAGATCCCTAGAAAGCTGTAACCATGGAATACGGACTCCCCTTCGTAGAAACAATGCCTTCACTTTACTTAATGCTTCTGAGAACATTGTAAAAGAAGTTTGAAGGCAGAAATTTGAGCTCAGGACTGCAGTATTGTCAATGTCGGATTTGCTTCAATAGTAAAAAGTCGGATTTTTCCTTAGTGCTCACTCCAAAAAGCATTCGGAAGGTAGACGAAACCCCGTCGCTTCCGATCTAGCTGGGAACATTTCTTACTTAACGCAGGTTTGTGGAGCGAAATACATGTGAAAGCATTTTCAAGGCAAAAAACGCAGATAATCGGTTCTTTTGGAGGTATGACACAGCTTGACTGAAGCAGCCATTTGACGCTTTTGGATGTGTACCTACCTAAAAAAAATTCGGGAGCCAAGAAGTGCTTTAGTCAGTAAAAACTCCAGGTGGACCTATAATTTTGTCCAGCCTTCAAGCCTACTTTTTTACAAATTTTCAATTTTTACTGGTAGTAGGCTGGTAAACGCACGGCTGCACCAAATTTTGGAACATTTTATTGACAACAGAGTGAGTTATGGCACTTTTTAGAGTGGACCTATAATTTTGTCCAGCACTGTACGTGTACCCTTTGATCTTAGTTGACTGCCGTTAATGATGCAGAGTTAAGCGACATACTGGCATATATGCCTCGAGATGTAAATAGATTTCTTTTCCGACGTAATATGGACACTGAACATACGGACTTGTCATCAAAGCTTACTTCCTCAGGGTACTAGATATACTCTTATTCAACGCATCTGTGTCATTCTACGGCAGTTCAACAAGCGATATTATCTGCAGTTACAATGCCGTCGGCATTTCGTTTTTTTTCTGCGCAGTGTAGTCCCTTTTAGTACATGTTCATCGTACCATTTTGACAAGCAACGTTGCTCACCTTTTAGCCACATAGAAGGTTGAGAGAATGAATTCTCAGAAAACGACAGAATGTTATAGCAGCTGATAGGGCTGTAGTCGCTTGTAAGATTTGCGAAGCGGTATATACCCAGCAATGGCTTGGAAAAACACCAAAGTGCGCCGTTCCCGGTCGAGGAACACCAGTTAGCAGAATCCGTCCCTCATGACAGCAGTAATGACGAGGATACAGAGTGTAATTAATGATGATGACTAAATTATGACTGAGGCTTCCGCCAGGTGACGTTCGCAGACAGTAGGAACTACTGGAATGACACGCTCCAAATGATTGAAATATTACTAATTGCACAAAAATTCAATAATCACATTAATTCCTGTACCTTAGAGTGCGGCTTCGAAAGCTAAAATGTAGCGCCAAGAAACTACCTCGGAGAGTGTCATGAAGGGCCTCCACAAATCATAAAGTTTTTGAAGGCCAACAAGATGGTGATGTGAGTTGAAAGCAGGGCTCGGCACCGATGGTTTGGGGTCAAACTGGACTTCGTTTTTGGAGTTAGAAGCAACGGGGACATCGTTTTTAAGAGGTCCTGGAGGAAGCGCCAAAAAACACGACGAACATGTCAGATTTCACGAGTTGAACGTGTTCTTTCGCAAGCGCGCGAATTTCAAATGCAAGACTCAAACAAACAAATGGCTTGTTTACAGCGCACAAACAATCACATGGCTCCGAATTTGGGCTATGAGTATACAATATTACTCCAAACTATGTTATGTAAAAAGTTCCCAAAACTTATGTGTCTGATTACCCGTTCCGGATTTGTTGGTTTCTAGACCAACCACCGAAACCAACTGGGTTGGCTCGGAGCATAAATTTCGGAGAGTTCACATAAGTTTTAGACCTTTTTGATGTGGACGATTAAAACGCTCAAAAATCTATTATATGGTGGAGAGAGCGAATCAAACTATTGCCTCTCTTCTTCCTTTGAGCAAAAGTAGTGCAAATCTATACGCCGTGATAGATATTGCGCTCCAATCACACGCGGTGTCCTTTGAACTATGTGGCGAAAAATGCACTGCCAGATTGTTGAGGCCACATATTTGGTTGGCCTAGGAGGTTCTCGACATTCTGAGCGCTAAAATGGTACACTACCCAATGACAGAGCCTTTAATCAACTCGAAATGTTTTCTCTTTGCTTTTTTTGTTGTATTAGTTACCTCAAAATGCGCTTTTTTCGCTTTTTAATGTTATTTTGACTAATCAAAGGTTTCCCTACTGATTTTTACGTCAAGAGGGACTTCGTAAATTTTCGCGAAGTCATGGGGGACTTCGTTTCCAGAAACGCTTCAAAACAACGCGTGCCGGGCCCTGGTTGGAAAAGTTGCCGAAAGCAGCGACATTATTTTGAGTTAACGACCGAGTTGACATTCCAGAGAGGGCTACAGACATAATCCCCTCCACACAATGTACGAGGTCATATTAGCGGACCATGTTTCCACTGTGAATCTCAATCTTGAAGACTGCAAAAGTAAGAAGGCAATGCGCAATTTTTCTAGAAAACTACTCATTACAAGGCCAACGATAGGGATGCATTTGCAGTCCTTACGAATGCGGCCGCAGGAAGAAGCAGCTGTAGAGGGTTGTTGACAATGTCCAAAATGCGACTGGCTGCATGTATGCTCAAATAAGAGGATAGAAGAGGTTCAATGTTGATGTTTGGTTAAAACATTGTTTAATCATTACTGTTATGTGGTAGTAAACCAAAATCACAACCCAGTATACAGGGTGGCGGTCAAGAATAACGATAGCTCTGCCAGCCGCCCAGCTGCCAGCTGCTCGAGCGCGCCAGAAGGCCCCGCCTCTTCGCTCTGGACGAGCGCACGCATGGGCATGCGGCGCGGTTTAAAGGACGCGCATCTTATCGACTGATGATTCACCATTTGTTCACGATTCTTACCCAAAATCATATTTTCTCATTGCGATTCGTTTCTCTCGTATTCGTGCAACTTCTTACTTTTACGTGTTTTGCTCTGATTTTTCAGTCTGTCCTCATTTATCATTGTCTCATTCAACCTTTATAGCTTTACCGTGTGTTTTATTTCGTATATAGTTGCCAATATTCTCATTTTCACTGATGTTTGATTTTTATAGGATTTTCGTATTTGCGTGGGTGGATTGCGTCATCAACACTCATCAACAATACTTGGTAAGTGCCTAGTGTTTCTTATATTTCTTTTCGTATTTCTTATTTATGTTTCTTGTATTTTGGGTTGTACTGAACACTTTTTCGAAAATATTTTCAGATCCTGTCCCACATCTCCGACTTTCCCAGCTTCATCCGCAAGTCCAGTTTTTGTTTTTGTTTTTGTTTGTGTATTGTTTTTCTAATTTGTTTGTTGTTTTGTTTTGTTTTTAACATTTTGATTTTGTTGTTGTTCGTTGTTTGTTGTCGGTTGTTGAATACATTGTTTATTAAAAGCTGTATTAACACATTATCAATAACACATGAGTAGGCAGTAATAATCCAAATAGCTTAGGTAGTAGAAAGATGTCTATCAATTTACTTTATTAGTCACAAACTGCGACATCTTTCTACAATACATTGATATCATAGTTGTGCGGGGAATGGGATTGCTTGGGGAAAATTCTTGTTCATAGCGCCTCATCACTGCAAGAATTTTTGCGCGTCTTATCCTGTCCCTCTTCTTCAGTACTTTACCAGTGCGCCTCTAAAAGTTTTACATTTACATACGTCGGGATTCAGTTTTCGATATACCCACCCTTTCCATGCGAATAATCTCTGCTTTAGCTTCTGTGTTGCAGCTGCGCAAGCGTTTTAGCAGCTTGGACATTGACGGGTATTTGCATTTGAGCATCTCTCCGAGCCTTCTAAAGTATTCATAGGTTAGAATGTATAATGCTTTTAGTGCTTACCTATGAAAAGCTTCCGCCGCATTGGTGGTTCTTGTGTCCTCGATTGCCCATTTGTTCCACAAGTTTTTGAAAGGGCCCGAGTACCATGTTGTTTTAAGATAGCGCAAAAACTGGCAACACTTTTCATAAGCTTCATGTGTGCGGTCTAGATCAGGTCGTTGTAATGCGGGTAATCTCCTGTGAAGGCGTGAGGGCAAGAAGATGGATCCCTTCACTCTCTCCCACCACCTTATCACTTCGTAGTCTCGATCATCTCCAGCTAGATACTTGCGCAAACCCAGGGCGTCTTTCTTTCTGTTCCAAGCTACAGCCAAATGAAATCCGCAACCCTCAACAGACGCTTGAGGGAACACCTTCTTTGCTGCAGCTATGGAAGCCCTCTCAAAATCTAACACAACCCTCAGCCTATGGAGTGCCCCATGACGTTCCAATTCTTCTTTGAGCTGCAGGAAGATGAGCTCATACGTCCGCTCCGTCTTCGACGTCGTGATGGCGTACAGCAGCGGCATGTCTACTGTATTGTTACAAATACCATGGACTGTATATAACTGTCCCTTCTTAGCATATCATTTTTTTCTTCTTCGTCTAAATTCACCGTATTTCTGTTGTGGTTCATCATGTGTAGTTCGTTACTTACTTCACCGCAGCATTCATCTATGAAGTCTTGAATGTCGTGCCATGCTTGAAGGGTGCTTCTTCCTGCTAAATTCTTATCATCACGGATCTTCTTGCATTCTCCGTATACTAGTCGCTCTACTTTATCCTGCGCAGTCTTCACTGGCAAGCATACATGTGGTAAAGCGAAAGGGTCTCCCACGAATTCGTTGTTAATGACCTAAAACTTGACTTAAGCTTTGGCAAGTCTATGAGTATATGGTATATATATACCGGTATCATTGTGTTTGTTCTTTCACTAGCACACCCTCTGCATCGGTACACCTGGTATGTGGAGTTAGTTCTTAAGTGCTCAAAGGTGTAGCACCGTGTTTGCCCTTCATTACAAAGATTGTTAGGCTTTTGGATCGTGGAGCTATTGTTTCTACCTGGAATTGAGTATCGCAAGACTGCGTGCTTGCCATGCTGGCTTGGCTCAACAGAAGCATGGAATCTTGGCGCAGACAAATCATAGCCACAACGACGACGCTGTGGCCTAGTGCTCCTGGAGCTTGCATCAGTGCTTCCTCTTTCGGCAGTTGAGCTTGTTTCTCCATTCGGATCTGTTCTTGCTGGTGGTTGGGTCGTTTGAGAGCCTACATTGTTTTGATTCGGGATTAAAATATCGTATGTACTCACTCACCCGCAGCTTGATTACTCAGCATTTGCTGCTGCATCTGCATTTGTTGCAAAAGAGCAGCATAGGTTAGCAAATTAAGTTGAAAACTCGGCAGCATGTCGTTGTATGATTGCGCATTGTACTTGCTCTCCTTTTATATAAGCTCATCCTATCAAAGCATGAAGGTCTTGGTGCTTGTGGCAAGCTATAGTGGAGTTACGGTCATGTCAAGTCTGTTTCGCACCTCACATCTAGGTCATATACTGAACTCAACCCTTCTGCCTTGAGGATTTTATGGTAAATCTTGATGACCTCCACTATTTACCTCACTAATCTAAAGATTTAACGAAGGGGCAAGGCATAAATGAAGAAGGATGAATGGAAAGAACTAGGTGATGAATGTGGAAGAGATATCATTGTATTAAAAACGTTCCCAAGCTTTCTGGCATATCACGGATGGGTTCATGTTCTCATTTGACATGACTACCACCGTGAATTTGCTAGATTTACGACTTGGTAAAGCAAACATAATGATATTAAAGCAAACAATTTGATCAAAATCAAGGTGAATAGTAATGTAGTTCTTAGAGAATAGTGTAGCAGTAGAATATGTGAAGAATACTAGTCCAGAATACTATTAAAATGTATAGCGAATACTAGAACGAATACTAGGAGTTAGAATAGTAGGGAATACTAGAATATCAGCAAAAAATAATTAGGATTCGCCTTCATACGAAAAGTTGTCATATATCGTGGACTAATGCGAAGTATAAGGGTACGGTATCGTACGAGAAACTCGTCCGCCGCAATAGGGCGGAGCTTAGAGCGAATGCCTTATTGCCAGTTCATGACCCCGCGCGCGCTTGGCGCCAGCTATCGTTATTCTTGGCATATACCCCAGTATACATGCTCCGTTATTGCATACAGGGTGTTTCAAAAAAATGTGAACACTGTTTGACCGTTAATAACTCCCTTGCTTTCGTGTCTTTCGCCGAGCTTTGGGCACCATTCCATAGAGCGAGAATCAACTTAGACTCACAGTCTGGAGCGAATCATCAATCTCTCTTCATTACTGTAGGATTACGGTAGGAACTTCGGTAAGGATTTTAGGCCATTGGAAGTCATATTCTGCCTCGGAACAAAACCAAACAAGCCAAAAACCCTTAAACTATGCTAATAGAAGCCGCTGATTTCGGATATAAAATTTTCACTTTACTGTGGTGCTTCCTTCCAAAGTTATCCCAGGTAATAAGCAAATTTCTAGCATCTGTCAAAAATGTGATTACGCCGGAAAAGTTGAAAACACTTGTAAAAAGTTGTTTAGTGGAATCAGCGTGCGCGAAATTCTCAGCACACGATTTCTCAGATTTTTTGAAGAAAAATTCTGTCATATGGCATATTTCACGATGGTTCCGCATGCTGGAAGTTCACACCGTCCTACAGTAACGAAGAGCGATCGATGATTCTCTCCATACTGTAGCTAACAAGGGAAGCTACCTAACCTAGCTCGGCCTTTTGGCAAGGGACATATACACTCTGAATCAGCTTTAAACGCTGATTTCAACTATGCTATTCCTAGCTGCCGCGCACCATTCCGAAGCGAGTTATGGGCTTTTCCTGCGCAAAATTGGCGTGCTCATCAACTCACGGACATCACTTCATCATCATTTAAGTGCTGATACACATGCGTTCGGCTTTTTTTAGTGAGAAAAGATTGGATTTCTACTATTTCGATACCTTAGCACCTTTTTTGCAAATTTTTGTCTACAGGCAGTCTTCTCAAGTTCAGTAGTATGCCAATTTTGCGCAGGAAAAAGCTCATAACTCGCTTCGGAATAGTGCGTGGCAGATAGGAATAGCATATTTGGAATCAGCATTTGAAGCTGATTTACATTATATATGCCTCTTACCAAAAGACCGAGCTAAGTTAGGTAGCTTTCCTTATAAGTTGAACTTCGCTCTACGGAGTGCTGCTTCAAACTCGGCGAAAGATATGAAAACAAGTGAGTTATTAACGATCAAACAGTGTTCACATTTTTTGGGACACCCTTTACAGTCTGTTCTAGTCAGTCATATGTACTGATGTGTTAAAGTCGCGATATTATCACATTCTATATATGAACCACTATCCCATAACAAATGGTTTGCTCATTACACCTTGAACACATATTGAATAGCGGGAAAGTTCCCTCAAATTACCATGTGCGATCGTAAAACCTATGAGTTTATGTGGCTTTGCTTTTTGAGGGGATCATACAATCATATGGAATTGATGCGAATGCGCATGCGAATCACGAGACAACAGACTATTGAGAGAAAAACTTGTGATGCCTGGTATAAAAAGGTGAAAAGAAGAAACAGAACATACCCCCAGTTTGAAACATGAATTTGTAGGCTTAGATAAGTGTGGATGGAGATAACCCTCCTGAGTTATAAGAAGAGCTCTGAGCGCTGAGTTTCATCACTAACGCTTAGCGGGAGTATATCATGTAGGATAGTTTTTCGCGTTTGTGTTCTTCCTGATATAACTACGCCAAAGTTTTATGCTTTCAAATGTGGTGCTGTCTTGTAGAGTGCCTTTTTGTTAAACGTTGCGATGCGTTTTCTTCATATTCTCTACCATGCATCACCACGATGCATGGTAGTCTGAAATGGGGTACTTACAAAAGAGGAGGACTGAGTTTGTCATGTTTGCAAATAGCTATATCGCTTGGTAAGCATCAGCAAAGCACAAGTGATACTCAGCGTGTTTGCGATCAACAGCAATGTTTCAAATTTTCGTTTTCAAAACTATCTTGAACAAGGAAGGTCTATGAAGTAACGTTAAGCCAATGAATTTTGCACTGCACACACCCCAAATAGACCAACTCAAGTTTTAAACCTTACCATGCTGTTGTGTCTTATGCAGGTCGTGCTCTCGTTAATGGTATAACCATTAATAGGGAGTTAGGGTTATTTAAGAAAGTGTTGAAAACGGTCCATTCGCTCTAATGATCACTCACTTGTTGATGCTGTATTGGAGTAAAGTTTATAGCATTAGGGATACTTGAGGTTGCAAAATAGTGGTGATAAGTTTTTAAAGATACCAATTCATCAAGAGTTTCCTTATTTGTACGTATTCCTACATGTTGTTCTATCCGAGCACGCGACGTTTTATCGGACTGACTTATGCTCATTTGTTTATGAAATTGATCACGCATGAATAGAGTGTGAATGATGGGCAATGTTGGGCATCCAAAAGACGCGGTCGCCAGATTTTTAAACCCTGTTTTGGACAAGAATATCTTTTATCATTTACATATCTTTTTAAATGAGAGACTTTGGGTCTTATTATCAAAAGAAACGAGTTTTAAGGTCTACAAATAAAGTCAGCAAAGTCAGTGTTTTATACCTCGCGTTTTTCTCCTTGTATAGGGTCCGCGTGTTGGGTCTAAATTGACCCGGATGATGCGACTGGGTACTCAGCGGCTCGTCTCATCCTCTTTTAGCAAGGGAAAGATACCAAATTGAGTCAGCGATCAAAGACTAGATGTATATCACTAAAAGCGTCATCAAATGCTTATTAACCTGCTTTCCCTTTTTGGGGTGCAGTTCCCCAAAAGAAGTCACGAGCGACTCAGTGTTCACTTTTGTCTTTACTGGCATAAAATAAGCTCTTCAAAAACACCTATACGGACAACAGGCTATGCTCCCTTCTCGTAGCCAATGTACTTGACACAAAACAATACACTTTCAGATGGTTTTGCAGAGCTTCTTGCTCCTTTATGTCCCTCAAAAAGTACATTCCATCATATGACGCCAACGTTGGATTACATTCGTACAATCCCGTAATTAAGAAGTCGACTGGTTTGATATCGCGCTTTAATTTCAAAGACTTATGCTCTTACCCGTTCTTTTGAGTATTCAATTTCTAATTCTTATTTTTCCGTCTACTGTCTATTTTCCATGTTCCGTCTTATGATGATTTCATCATTAAAGAGATAGAGTTTTGCGTTTTTTCTCCTGGATCCCAGATGCTGTTTTCTGCAGAAAAAACGTAAAAACTTCAAGTTTCTACAATTTTTGAAAGTTTGAAAGTTGTTGTTTTGTTGTTGTTTCAATGTTTCAATGAAGTCGAAAGTTAAAGTAAGTTCGTTACAAAACTTTCAGAACTCTGGCGGTCGCAAAACAGTCCTGTGGCCGTATTCATCAACGAACAACCCAGTGGGTTCCGAAACCCATTTAGTGGTTTTGATGAATATCGATTCTACATCGATATTCATCAAAAGCACTAAACTGGATTCCGGAACCCACCGGGTTTTCGTTGATGAATACGGCCACTGCAGGATGCTCGTAGGAGGTACAGGCAAGCCAAGAGCTTAGATACGCCAGGGTGATGTGGCTCAAAGAACAAGAGAGATTCAAGGCCATCAATACACACCTGTAAACGAAGCGAGCGAACCGCATTTAGTAGTTCTACAATGTTTTGACAAGTGCGATACATTTTTGCGGAGTCCTCACCACCTTCGCCGTAGTGCAGATACTGCTTCGTGTTACTCGAAAACACCACTTTTCGTGGTAGGGTTTTTTGTATATGGAACACATCAACGTGAAAAGTTATATCTCACCCCGTTTTTCGCTCACTGCACTTCTAACAAGTGACACGGCATCTTCCGAGTCAACCTCGTTGAGTAAGAAGGAATGCGCTCAAATTCACGTGAACATCATTTCGCAGCGAGCACTTTATAAAACCGGTTCAAATCTGCAGAAACTGCAGATGCAATGATCTGTGATTTCGAATTCACCCCCAGAGTCATAAATCATGATGATTTGAAGAAAAGGAGATTGCTGCAATTTGAAGAGTTGAATGTGTACATCTGTCAAGCGCAAAAATCCAAAGTGTTTCAACTGATGATGAACGAGGCTTGGTTTGTTATCACGGCCATTTCGCTTAATGCC